AGCCTCGAGATGGCTTTGGTATGGACCCCGGGATCCCCAGTAAGGGGTCCAAAGAAGACCCATGGAGGCCCCAAGAACGCCCAAGACCGCCCCAACAGCGTACTAAGAGAGCTCCAGTGAGGCGATGTTCAAACATGTAATTGTGATCATGGTCGTGGGCGCCGTGGGTTTCTGACCCTCCCTGGACCTCCCCAGACCGCTTTCGCATCGCACGTGGAATCCGCAGCTGAATCTAGAACGGCAAAGCTGCAATGCAAAAACAACTGCACTGCAAGTGGAACGGCAATGGAAAACAACTGTACATGTTTACGCTTCGCGCATCCCCACCAGCCCATTAAGGAAGAGTACTGTCTATCCAGAGACGATGCCCAGTGGATGTGCCTCGATCTGGTTTGTATTGGACCGTTCGGACACTTTTGGGCGATCTGCGCCTCTTGGGGCCCTTTTGAGGCGCTCTTGGGAGCGCTCCTGAGGCCATATTGGAGGCCACGGTTCAAAAAGGAACGCGGCGTCAATTTGGCCTCCCCCCAAGAGGCCAAAATGAAGCCAAAACCTTCGTAAACCCAGTAATGTTGGTTTCCTCACCGAGGCCGGTTTAGACGCTCCAACGACCCGCGCCCCCCCCCCAGACCCAGGGGTGGGGATAGGGGGAAGGGTCAAGACTTCCTCCCCGCCCGCAAGCCGTCTCGCTCACTCCCACACGCCCTCCCAACACGTAAGTAGCACCCGAGTCTGGCCCGAGCCTCAGCATCTTCAGCATGGAAGGGCAACTACTGGGGGCCAATCCGCCGCCGCCGCCGCCGCCGCCGCCGCCTCCGCCGCCGCTTCCTCCGCCGCCGCCGCCTCCGCCACCGCCGCCGCCGCCGCCGCTGCCCGCCGCCGCCGCAGCAGCCCGCCACATCGCCGCCGCGCCCCCCCACCCAACCAACAAACCCGCCAAATAACGGCCTCCCCACATCCGCCGCCGCCCGCTACCGCCGCATCCGCTGCCGGCCGCCGTCGCCGCGCCGGCCGGGGCCACCGTCGCGCCGCGCCGGCGCAGCCGTCCCGCGCGCCGCCGGCCGCCGCCGCGCCGCCGCCCCCGCCGCCGCCGCCACCCGCCGCCGGCCGCACCGCCGCCGCCGCCCCCGCCGCCGCCGTCGCCGCCTCGCCGCCCGACCCGCCGCCGCCATTCCGCCGCCGTCCGCCGTCGCCGGCGCCGCCGCGCCGGGGGCGCGCCCGCCGCCGCCGCTGCCAAATCGCCGCCGCCGCAGCCGCTGCCGCCACCGCCACCACCGCCGCCGCCGCTGCCAAATCGCCGCCACCGCCACCGCCGCCGCCGCCAAGTGTACTCTGTATTGTTTTGTTGACAGGGATGGTGGGGGGAGGCCGCATCGGGTTGGCTGCGTATGCTCCGAATTGGAAGGCAACGATGATTTTGTGTTGTTTTGTTACAAGGGATGGGGGGGGCCCTCATGGTTTTATGTTGGCTACCAGTCGCCTGGGGGGGTGTTTATTAATAGGGAACGGTGATCAACACCTCCCCGAAGGGGATGAAGGGGGCTGGACAGAGGAGACTGACCCTCTGAAACACTCACGCCCTAAAGGGCTGGTGGGATTATGATCACCGTTGTTGGCGCCGTGGGCTGATCAGACCCTCCCTGGACATCCCCAAACCGCTCCCGCCTCGCACGCGGAATCCAAAACTCAAGTTAGTAATGCAAAAAACAATACAAAGACAACTGTAAGTCTGATGACCGTCGTTGGCGCCGTGGGATTCAGACCCTCCATGGACCTCCCCAAACCGCTCTCGCCTCGCCTGCGGAATCCACAGCTGAAGCTGGAACGGCAAAGTTACAACGCAAAAAACACTTTCAACAACATTGTAAGTCTAATCATGGCCGTTGGCGCCGTGGGCTTCAGACCCTCCCTGGACCTCCCCGAACCGCTCTCGCCTCGCACGCGGAATCCAAAGCTGAAGCTAGAACGGGAAAGCTGCAATGCAAAAACACCTGCAATGCGAAACAACACTGAAAAACACCTGCAATGCAAAAACACCTGCAATGCAAAACACCTGCAATGCAAAAACACCTGCAATGCAATACAAAAGAACTGAACATCTGATCGGACCCTCCCTGGATCGCCCCAAACCGCTCTTCCCTAGCACGCGGAATCCAAAGCTGAAGCTAGAACTGCAAAGCTACAACGCAAACACAACTGCAATGCAAAACAATTGCAATGCGAAAGACTGAAAGTCTGATCATGGTCGTTGGCGCCGTGGGCTTCATACCCTCCCTGGACCTCCCCAAACCGCTCCCGCCTCGCCCGCGGAATCCAAAGCTGAAGCTGGAACGGCATAGCTGCAATGCAAAACAACTGCGATGCAAAACAACTGTAATTCTGATCATGGTCGTTGGCGCCGTGGGTTTCAGACCCTCCCTGGACCCCACCAAGCTGCGCTCGCCTCGCACGCGTCTCGCCTCGCCTCGCACGCGGAATCCAAAGTCGAAGCTTAAGCTCAAGCTTCAGCCTTTCGTTTTGATGCTTTGCGTCCCGCTGTGCGCTAAAACGGCTAAGAACTTGATCCACCACCGTGCTTCTGGGCACGGAGTGGACGTGTCCTCAGGCCCCTAATCCTGTAAGCATCAATCCCCACTCCTGAAGAGTCGTCAAGCGGCCCGGAGACGAAATTGCCAAATCTCCCTGGCCTTCCCGCGTGCCCCCTGGGCTCCAGGGAGTGTTATCGCATGACTTCTCCAGTGCCAAAAGGGCCCCAAGACGGGCCAAGAGGGCCCCAAGAGGCCAGCAAGACGGTGCACAAGAGGGCACAGAGTCGCCGAACGATCGCCCCAAGACGCTCAAGATGGCCCCAGAGGCCTCCAAGAGGTCTCCCAAGAAGGCCCCATGATGCCCACATCATTGATTTCCCGTAGGTTCTTGAAGAATTTGGGCGTTCTCGCCGTTTCGTATCGGCTTTCCGACGCTCTCAGACGGTCCTGGAGGCCCCCAAGACCGCCCCAAGACGGCCCAAGATGCCTCCCAGAGGGCCACAAAACAGCCAAAGAGGGCTCTAAGATGGCCTAAGATCGCCCCAAACGGCCCAAGAGCGCACCAAGATGGCCCCAAAATGGGCCCAAGTGATGGAACACGAACCGAAAATCCGAGCCTTCCGCTCCAAGAGGCTTCCAGGAAACCCTTAGAGGCGCCCAGGTGCCCCCAAGAGGCCCCCAAGAGACCCCAAAAGGCCCCCAAGAGCCCGAGAGGCTCCAAAGAGGCCCCAAGAGGCTCCAAAACGGCCCCCAAGAGGCCTCCAAACTGCCTCCAAGAGGCCCCCGAGAGGCCTCCCACGAGATCCCAGCGAACAGCCAGTAGGCTTCATACCCACAACCCAGGCATGGTGGAGGCATCGGCCGAAGGCCAACATATACATATAGATATACATTACACATACTATGGCCCAGCGCCAGTGGCCCCGCCCATTGAATCCCTTGCGCTGGCGGGATGTGTTGGGTGCTATAGGATATAGGTTGCGGTGTAGGCTGCGACATGGGATGCGCCCATAAGGTCTCTTGCGCCAACGAGAAGTTTGGAATGCCCAAAGTGGTGCCATTGTTTCCGCCTGGGGATGCGCTCGTAAGGTCACGTCAAATCTGTTGCACGGGCGATATCTTTGGGGTGTCAGAGGTTGCGTCATGGGTTGCGCCCACAGGGACCGTTGTGATGATGAACACTTTTGGGCGCCAGAGGTTGCGATCTAGGTTGTGCCACGGGTTGCGCCCATGGGTCCCTGGCGCTGGCGGTAACTTTGACTGCCGTGGTTGCGCAATAGGTTGCGCCATGGTCCGAACCCATTGGGGTCATGGCACCGCCAGGAACGTTGCGTTGCTTTGCGCTACGTCTGGCGTTGCAGTAGTTTGTGTTGCATTGCTTTGCTTTGCTGTTGCGTTGCCTTGCTTATCTTCGATGTGCATTGCCTCGCGTCGCACTGCATTGCTCCACGTTGATGACACCGATTCACTGTTTGGGGTGGTCGCTAGAATGAAGCTCCGTGCTGCTGCCCAGAGAGAGAGGAAGAGAGTGAGAGAGAGAGTGAGAGAGAGAGAGATGTATAGAGAGAGAGAGAGAGAAAGAGAGAACGAGTGCAGCCCGCTTCGCAGCATCGAAGCCAGCATGCCCTAATGACTTGCTGGGGGTCGCGTCGCGACACCCCCCATCCACCCACCCCCACCCAACCCCCAGCCCCATCCCCCCACCAACACTCCCACCCCTCCCAAGCGCAGTCGGGGAGGGATGCGCGCGGCAGCGCAGGTGGGTATGATCCGCCGGCCCCTTGGGGTTCATCGGCGTGTGAGATCTTCCCCCTCCCCCGGGAGCCCGGTCCGGTCGATTTGGAGGGGGGGGGGTCTGTTCAAATTCCCCGGTTCCCCCGGGGGGGTCATCTGCTCCCGGAAATCCTGCAGGGACTCCTCCGGTGGC